TATTACTATATTTTAAAATATAATAAATACGTAAACGGATAAATAATTTTAATAAATAATCGAGCGGAAAATTTTTACACGGATGAACAAAACCAACGATACCCATGTACATTCTATCTTCAAAATGTTTACTACATAGGCGTCGGGTTTTATAATAGCCCATATAGTCCAATGCAGGAAGGTCCTCTCTACCACAAGCTTGAAGCCACATCTTACATCTAACATTATTGCAAATACATATCATAAGTCAAGCATATTATCATTTCCACAAGTAAATCATCTAATATTAAATATTTATATACAATACTTGCAAATTCTCATGCTTGGAAAATCTAAAAAAATTAGTTCCTTCATCTTTTTCATTGTATGAATTCTTACAGTCTTTGTAAGAGCATAAAAGTCTACTCCAGTTTCTGGAACTCATTATGATTAGAAACTCTGAAATAAAATGCTGTAAAAAAGAAAAACACACAAAAAAAGAGAAAAGCAAAGTGAGACAAGATAGCGAAAAGATTCTTTTTAATGGAACTTTTAACAAAGGAGAAAGTGAACGTATAGTAATTAAAAGGAAAAAGAAAGTGTAAGAAAATAAGTACTTAAACAGAAAGACAGTTTTAAGTAGATATAATGAAGTATGATTTTTATACAGTATAAAGAAACAGTCAAGAACTATATCTGCGTATAAAAACTCAAATTTCACAAAAAGCGGACGTGCAATGTTTGTTCAGAGGCCATTAATTTGATACCCCGAAGTATCCTCTATTTGTAGGGTTAATATACAGGAAGTGCTTCTACATATAATATTTAATAGTTCCCACTTCCTTATAAAAAAGAACAAATTAACAATATTAAACAATAAGTAACAACATTAAACACGAGATTCTGCAAACAGAAAATATATTTGTAAATAGGTTACAAATAGATTTAGAAGTAACACAAAATAAGTCGCGTTTGAATATTCGAACTTTATCAAAGTTTGCCGATCATTGCCGAACGGCCCTTTAAATTGACTGTGTAGTTTCATCTCTTTCTAAGTCCGGAGTGTCGCTTCTTATTATATCTCCTCTTTCTTATTATTACAAACATGTCTACCATGATGAGTGTGTCTGTACAGACACCTGCACCACCCAAAACTGTTTGGAAACCTGGTAAATAACAAGAAATACAAATGATAATTTTAATCTTACCTGTAATTATTATAACTGTTTGGTGTATAATAATTATGTTCTAGATATGTGCTAAATACTGAAACATATGTGTTTTTATCTCTCTGTAAATAAAATGTTTAAACTAAAAAGCGATTATGATGATTAAATTATTTACATTAATCAAAAGAGTGTGTGTAAATTAAATCTGTTGAGCATGGTAATTTTGATATTTGTTACATATACTAACTATTTACTAAGAATAATCGCTAGCGTGTCAAGAGTTCTGTGTTTCTTTCTATTATTTCTTATGTTTTGTTATCATTGCATAAATGATATTTTCAAGCATTGGTATCACTATACATAATTTATTATTTCTTTTCAAGGTAAGGTCAAAGTTGTGCGAGCATTATATAAATACACAGCACAGAATGTAAGCATGCATATTTGTGGACAATGTAATTGTTTTTAAACATATATAACAAATATATTAATACACTTTACACTTTATAGGCTGATGAACTATCATTCGATGAAGGTGAAATTCTTTATGTTTACGACAAAGATGTAGAACCTAATTGGTGGAGAGCAAAATGTGGAAATCGAGAGGGTCTTGTACCTGCCAATTATGGTCAGTTTAAAATTAAATTTGCAGTTTTATCTTACTATTCATTATGTGTATTAGTATACTGAAAAAAAATTCACATATAGTTGAAGAACAAACTGAAGAAATTGAATTACCATTGCATGATGCTGCAAGACGTGGAAATCTTTCATTATTAAAGGAATACCTAAAGCAAGGAGTTTCAGGTACAGCTTTGGACACAGTGGGTAATACTTCATTGTATTGGGCTGCACGTGCTGGTCACATAGATTGTGTAAAGGAACTTTTAAACTTGCCAAATCCTGTAGTTAATGCTCAAGTAAGTATGTTACAAAATTATCTATTTGCAAAATAAGTCTTTGGAGTATTTGCATCTTCTATGTAAATTATTATTATAGAATAAAATTGGTGAAACACCATTACATATAGCAGCAAGTCGTGGACATGTTAGTATAATCAATTTGTTACTGCAACATGATGCAGATCCAACAATAAAAAATAACGATGGTTTTGTTGCTGAACAATTATCATCAGATTTCGCAATTAAAAATATGATACAACTAAGTCAACGTGAGCATGATAAAACTTATGGATACACGGAAGATGATTATAATGATGACAGCGATTAAGAGAATGGAACTTGACTTCTCAAGTAATTGAATGTGATTATTTAGACCATACAGCATTAAGTATGATATAAGTACGTTTTTTATTGAATTTATTTATAATTAAATTAATGTCATAAATATTATATAATATATAACATTGTTATATAAAACGATACAGCTTTTATTAATGTTTTTGTACATTTAATGAACTTGAATAAATAGTATAAGAAATTTATGTACTCCTTGATATTATATAACAATTATTTTTATTATTTACATAAACGAAAAACGCATTTGACCCTACTATTGTAATACAATTATGGTTTTGGAGGAAAATGTTCAGAATTGTTACATTCAATGAAGATTCACTATTTATTCAACAAATGTAAAAAAATAGTTTAATACTGCTTACATGCTGCATTCATTATACAGACATATTAAACCTATTATGCTAGTCTTCTTTTACATATTTGTAACAATTAGAGCAACAAATAGGATGTTCATTTGTTTGTATTTTCTAACTGATGTAACTACCTAATTATCTTATTACTAATGCACTTTAAATGATATAAAACAATAAATTGAAATTATACCACAGAGAAAAGTTAATTCTGAAATAATATATCACTATGCATATGTGATATCTCCACATACGGCACTTAAAACCACTGAATATTCAAAATAACGCATTTTGTTCATATTTTTTTACTAAACCATCTATTAAAGTCCAATCTCAATAATAATTGAGCTAAGTGTTCTCCACTGGGTTGTGCACGAACTCTATTTAATGTTTTAGTCAACCAACTCATTAAACTTTCAAGAGTGTCGGACAACGTTTTGAGTTCTTCTTTCTCTGTTAAAAGTAAGTTGCCTACTTCCCACATCGACGCTTGCAAGATAAAGTCGTCGCAAAGTCGTAGTAATAGTTTTATTAATTTATTTACCTATTAAAATATATTCAGTAAATACGTGAATCGTGTAATTATTAACGTATTGAAGACATATATAAATTTAAGTATAACATACAGGATTTTTTCGTTCCGTTAAACTTCCTAATAAAAACGTTTGGGACATAACGTTAGCCAAAAAAATAGAGTGTGCCTTTTGTACGTCTTCAAAATTTCGAGTATTTTTCATATTTCCTTCCATAATAGTATATTGACTTTCCAATACGTCCACTTGCAAATAGTATTGTAAATTATCAATAATAAATATTAAGTTATTTCTTAGTTGTATTACACCAATGTCGCTAAAATAAGGAAAGATTCATAAGAGTTAAAACATTGTCTTAACGTCTTAAAACAGTGTTTTGCTTATACACGAAGTATTATAATTATGTCTTACATATTTTTATAATACATATGCTCACTCCAAAGATTCCACAGACCAATTTGAGTTTTCTTAACTCTAAGCAAAAATCGGAATAATGTATTATAATCGTTTAAAGCAGATGGATTAAATAGTAAGTGTAATGGCCATATGACTTTGTACTTCAAAATGATCATACCCCATCCACGCCTCTCTATATTTATTTGATAAATAACAATAACGCATTATTGAAATGTTTATTTGTTCAGAAAATATAGTTCATATAAAAAGAAGATCTTACCAATAGGATCCTCACGTTCCTTGTCAGTAATTTCTGCACCTTCTACTTCTGTATCATCACTCTCTTCCACTGGAAGTGGTACTAAAAAATTAAAACTCTCCATAGCGCTCTCATCGTTTAAATGCATTTTCCTTAATGCAATTTGAAAAGCTAGATTGATGTCTCTAGATGTATGATTTGTCGGTGGCTTGTTCAATATATGTGCAGTGAGTCTAATAAATTCAAGAAACAAATCACCCCGGCCCATAAGGAAAAAGTCTTTTACTAATTTCAATTGTTGTACTAATTGGGCTTCTTCAACAGCGACTCGCCATAATAGTTCAGTTACACATTGTTTTAATTCATCGATCGTACATTCAAATTCAATAATATTAAAAATTGGGTTCTTCTGAAGATTCTGAATTTTAAGAAAATATTCATATTCTTTATCGCCCCATATAGAATTCTCACTCTGATCATCTACCGCAAAGTCTATAAACCAACAGAAACATTTATAATATCTTTGTTTTACAAACTTTACAATTTTTCATAAGCTTCTTACCTTTCTTCTGCCTTGGGTCATTACTAAACATTATAATTGTTTGCCCTATAGTTAAAATTTTAGCTGCTAATGACGGTCTGATGTACGAAGGTAGCATATCCACTTGAACATTGTAATCCCACATATCGGAGTTCAATTTTATGTTTTTTATCTCGGCCGGGGTGTGTTTATTATTTGCTAATATCAAACTGTTTTGTCCATTTGATATTTTCTGAATGAAAAACTCACTATGCATGTCTTCTAAATGACCATACAAAAGCCAACTTGTTAATTGTTTATAGAAAACTGTATGTACACAATGAGACATCCTGAATAATAATAAATTAATTAACAAACAGATAAAATAAAGGTAATAATAATAATGGTCACTCACTTTTCTAAGGCTGATTTCACTTCAGGAATACCAGTATGCATATTTTGATGTAAACACTGTAATAGTCTACAGCCATGAATTTTCTGTGTACTAATCTAAAATGATATGAAAACATGAATATGTATTCACTAACTCTGTAATAATGTGAAAAGTAATATAAGATTATATACTCACTTCTCGTATAATAGAATTTAGTACAGAAAATAAACCAATATACTTTTGGACGTGACAAAGAATAAATGATAATGGCGTATAACTATCATGAAGAACTACATTCTCTAAATCGATAATTTCTTCACGAAATGGTTCCAAAGCTTGATCCATTCCTTCGCATAGAGCTTGTAGATATAAACCTTGAGGTAAACTTTGTAATTCTGTAATAAATAAACTAATATAAAGTAACTATAGCTTAATAAAATTTGAATATGTAACTGTTAAGTATAACAAAATCAAATAAGTAAAGTGGAAATTTCTTATACCATCACTGGATCTTGAAATATTGAATGTTGTATAATCTTGAATAAAGTTTCTAATAACATTGCACTCCTCGACTATGTCTAATATTTTTTTAAGTAATGCACGTTCCCCAGGATGTAAATATTTTTCAAGGTCTATAGTCTAGAAATAATAATCTTTAAGTTTAGAAAAATGCAGAACCAAACATGCCGAGTGTTTCAGTACCAAACATAATCGAAAGCTTACATTTGTTTCCAATATATCTAAAGCATTAGTCGAACACCCCCACAATGCCAGTAACACTTCGTGTAGCATTTTAGAAGTGTCTTTCAATTTGAGGAGATATTAATTTTCACATCAAATTATGTTGCATACAAACAAAATGATAGAAACACCAAGAACCCATCGGAATAACCTATAATCATTCAAATGCTTAAAGTTCATTTTTTTGTATACATACACAATATGTATTTATTCTATGCAACGAGGTTGCCTCATTTGTGTTTACATATTTTGACTGCCGGTTAGCTGGGTTAGTCACTAACGTCACTAACTAACATTAGGAAAAAAATAAGTAAACATCGAACCACAGACGAGATTGGACGAGATCGGCGACCATTATGTTTATTTCCAACCGCTAGCAATCGCTAGTGCTAGTGTTAGGATTTTCCAATTTTTCTGATCTCTTAGTTTCATTGTTGGATGGCGCCATGGCTCTCTTTCCGCGCGTATTTTGCCGTTTTATTGAACATTTAAATATTACGGGGCTCCTCGCCGGTTTTCTTGTTCAATATCATTAGAGAAGCGGTTAATAAAAAATATATTACTCATCGAACGTACTTTTTATTGAAAAGATTCCTGATTTTTTGTTTTCTATTACTTTCACATACTATATAATATATGCTATCGTTTCTCATTAATTAGTATTTAATTAAATAAGAATTAAATATACTGCTACTAGCAATTAATGTATAACATGTAATTAGTCTTACAAATATGTAATATGACATTTATGATTTTATAGATAAATATTAATTAGGTTTGTTGCTATGGGAATGTAAACAGCATGCACTAACATATTACACACGTTCCACCCTTAGAATCTTAAGCATAATTGTATGTTTTACTGAAGTAAGTGGAAAGGACATTTAAGATTAAGATGACGCTTTCATTGCAAGCCAGAGTATTTTACGGTTTAAAAACTGACATAGCTTCGAACGTACATTATATTTCGGACAATGAAATCTTATATCCAGTCGGTAATGTAATATCACTTCATCACATTCCACAACGTAGACAACGATTAATACGTTTGTCCGATAAACATGAGATAAATATAATTGCTGTTACCCCTAATAGGTATGTTCAAAAATATTTTATATTTCCATTCTGTAAAAACTTTCCAGTCGTACATATATATTTTTTTTATATAAAGGAAATATGTCGCAACCTGCGAAGTTGGCGAAAAGCCTACAATATCAATATATGATCTTCAAACGTTAAAGAGGAAAAAACTACTCGGTATACCTTACGACGCACCTGAGGTTACTAAATTTACATGCATTGGCTTCAGCTTTGATAATAAATATCTAGCAGCAGTTACAGGAGAGCCTGATCAAAGAATGCTTTACTACAATTGGGAAAAGGGGAAAATGGAATCTAGTATAAAAGTAGGCACTCAACAAACTCCGCCGGCTATTATTGAATTATTAGCATGTAATCCATCCGATACAGGAGTAGTTGCGGTTGCGGGTTTACGCACATTTAAATTCTTAACTCTTTCTGAAACGGTATGGCGTCCATACGGATTCTCTAAAGCAGACAATATACTTGCGTGTTCCATAACTTGGCTGAATTCGGATAGATTATTGCTTGGAACCAAAGATGGTAAAATACTTTACTTAGAAAACGGAGACTTAAAAAATATTTATAAAATGAGCGATACAACTTCTATGAATCTTAAAATTCGAGAAGAATATGTTATACAAGCCACGAGTTCAATAACGGACATTAAAGAAGACAGCGAATGGAATAATAATATTCGTTGTTTAATTGCATTTTCGAAAGGATTCGCATATGCATACGGTTTCAAAACAATCGTGGTGTTTGAAAGAGAGGGTCAACATAAATATACGAAAAGGAACGTTTTTATAATTCCAACACAAGTATCAAAAGATGAGAATCCAGATTTATATCAAGTTCATAATATAAGCATTAATATAAGTTTGGATAGTTTAGTAATTACAACCGGCTGGCCCCAATTGTTTCATGCAAGATTATGGGGGCCTGACTTGAGCATAGATCCAGAACCACAAGAATTAAAAATCTTGGGTCAAGCACTACATTATGGACCTATAAGTAATCTCTCAATGTGTGCTTGGAAATCAATCTTCATGACATGTGGAGAATTTGACCATAGCATAAGGCTATGGGATTTTGAGTCTGGAAGTTTAATTTTATTTAAACAATATACGGAACATATTTGTGGGATTTCTTTACATCCCACAGGACTCTTTTGTTTGATTGGTTTTAGTGATAAGTTACGCTTCATGTGTATATTAATAGACGATTTATTAACCATGGAAGAATTCCCGATAAGATGTTGTAAAACCGTAACTTTTAGCCACGGTGGTCACTTATTTGCAGCTGTTAATGAAAATATTGTACAAGTTTATACAACAGTAGATTTCACTAGCTACTTCATTTTGAAAGGTCACACTAATAGAGTAAAAGCTCTATTGTGGTCACAAACTGACACAAAATTGCTAACATTAGGCAGTGAGGGTGCTATATACCAATGGGATATGACTACTGGTACACGTTCTGCCGAAATAATTATAAAAAACATAAATTTACAAGACATTGCTCTGTCTGCCGACGAACAAGTTTCATATTGTATTGGCAGTGACAGTATTATACGTGAGATTAAAGAGAATGCGGTAATTAATTGTTCCTGTATAATTCCATTTATTAGTCCTGTATATTTCTTCATAAAGATATATAGAATATTATTTCCATTAGATAGCTCGAGAGTATAATCTTCCGGGAGAAACCATGCACAGTATGATACTAGGGAAACAAGATCAAGTTTTATTTCTTGTTTGTCCTGGTGGCAGTATTTTATCGGTGAAGTGTCCACTTCAAGAACCAGTACAATACTCAGAATTTAACATTCATTCTGTTGATGTCACAAAGGTAAAAACATACCAATGTTATATAAACAGAAAGATTCATGATTTAGCAAAACACATAACTCTCCTTTTTATTACACGAAACTCTAATATTACTTGATAATTTTATAGATTGCTCTTTCTCACAATCAAGAATATTTAGTGTCTACCGGTATTGATGGTAGTATGTGCATTTGGAAATTGTATTCTGCTGAAGGAAAAGCGAAGGTAGGAAAAGAAATAGTATACACAAATGAGGTGCTGATTAGTAAAGGCGACCTAGTAGAAAAAATACATACGATACAAGACTTGAATGTCAGAATGAGGGAATTGGAAACTGAGCACGCGTATAAAATGCGTCAAATAGATGTTCAACATAACGATAAAGTACGGGACCTTCATAAAGGGTATTGCGACGCTATTGAGGAACTGAGAGACAAGATAAGCAGGCTACAGGAAGATCATAAGAATGAGCTTAATGTAATAAACATAGAAATAGATAGAATGAAAGAGAATCATGAGGAAACAATGAAACGAGTAGAAATGAACTACGATGCCAAACTTATCACGGAGTATGATAAGTACTTACAGTTGGAGGATCATATGAATTCCATGCGACAGGATTACGAGAAACGCTTGGAAGATTTAGGGAAACAGGGAGCTGAAGAATTACAAAACGCGACGAATAAATACGAGGCTCTGTTGCACCAGAACAAATTACAACTGGAGGAAACTCAGGATGAAATGACACATCAGGCGCGTGTCCATGAACAAATGACGACACAGATAGAGGATGATGCTGATCAAGAAATTTTAGAACTACGAACCAATTACGAAAATTTGTTGCATGAGGAAAGAGAGTTGATCTTGAAACTAAAAGGAGAGGCTGGAATGATGCGTAATAGATATATTGCTAGCCAAAAGGATGTCGAGGAACTGAAGAGGCAAATGCAACGCGTTCAAAACGAGTACAGTTACTTTCAGTCGTCCATCCAAGAACTGGAAAAGGATAAAGAGGATTTAAAGAGAGAAATAAACGACAGAGATGTTACGATTCAGGATAGAGAAAGTCAAATATACGAATTGAAACGTTTGAATCAGGAATTGGAGAAGTTTAAGTTTGTATTGAATTATAAGATCACCGAATTAAAAAATCAGATAGAACCACGGGATCAAGAGATCAGAGAACTTAAGGAAAAGATACGAGACATGGAAACAGAGTTAGTAAATCTTCATAAAACTAATGTGAGTTTAGAACTGCAGTTGTACGAACTGAGGGAAAAATTGGGAGCAGCAAGACGCGAGTTGCAGTATGAAGTGCACCGGAACAAAAAGTGTCAGCAACTTCTGAAAAGAATTCGCGTGGACTTGTTGGACGCGTCAGGTCTTGTACAGGAGCCGCAAGCGTTGAAGAATGCCATAACAAAATTGTATCACAAGTATAGTGCCAGCGACGATTTCTTGCGCAGTCGTAAAGCAGACTTTGATGCTCAATGTGAATTTATGAAGCAAAGGGATCACCTGGAAAGAACAATAGCTTCTCTTAGAAAACAAGTGTTTCAGGATAAACCTGGTAGTGGGAAAGATATGGATAAAACAATAGAAGAGAACATTACGTTAATTACAGAATTAAATGCTCTGAGGGAAGAGTTGAAAGATGCTAGAAAACATATACTACACATGGAAGGTCTTCTTGGTTTGACTGCAAAGAACATCACACCATCAGAAGCAAAAAAGAAGTTACACAATGCATGCTATGGCCATGAAGAATTGAAGAATAAATATAAAATTCAAATGCAAGAGTGTCAAACTATAATAAACACATTAAAAGACGATATGTACAAATTGATAAACAAATTACCATGCGAAGAACAAGTGGCTCAATCGAACTTTTAAATATCAAGCATAGGTGTTTTAGAATATATATTATAAATAAATGAAACTATAAGTATGGTAATACACGGAATTCCCTTGTAAATTATTTATTTAAAGGATAAAAATATTGGTAACAAAATCCATAAATCTAAAAACACAATAATAATAATTACCAATATAATATTCCTAAATGCAGATTATCGCATACTATTTACAACACAAATGGAATGATAGCTTTTCGGCTTTTTGGATAGTTGGAAAACTCTTTCTTGTATGCCTTGTGTTTTCCTAATGCCCAGAGGGTCATCTGGTATGCACCAGCAAATGTAAACAGACCAGCTGAAATAAATAAGAATCATAGAATTTTGTATGTTACTTTCTTCTTAATGAAATAGTAAGTATATTTATACCTGGAAGGCAAGAAGTCATGATGGTAAAACCAATCCAACTACCAACTTCGTAAGTATAATTCGGACATGAAACTAAATTAAATAGTGCAGTGAATGGATTCCCAGTCGCTACAGGTATCTTCCTTACTGTAGAATTTGCTGGTCTCAGATTCCTTAGAGCTATATGAATACTCAGATTTCCCAATTCACAAAGTGCAAACATAGTTGTGCCAATATAAAATTTTAATGGGCTGGCAGGTGTGAATAATGGATGATTTACATGATACGCTACGTACATGGCAAACAACCAATAATAACTACAATTTTTAAATAGGTTACGTAATGGCATTGTTGCATGACTAAATCGGTGTACAAATAATGTTTCTAGGAGCCGCTTTGCATAATGTACTATCCAACAAACAGCTGCCACCCTGAAATTACATTTGATTAGATCTTCTGCATTAAATTTTTTTCATCTACTTATAAAGAAAACTTACGAAACAGTAGTATGAATTTTAGATGTATCAACATCACCATAAAAGATCCATGGACGTTGGTATAACCATAAATAAATGACTAAAGGACCAGCATATTCCACAAGAAACACAGTTTTCCAGCTAATTTGTGGTCCAAGGTCTTTGAAATATAATTTTCCACCATCAGAAACAGATAAACTTTTTAGAGAATCTGAATCAGATAAAGTTTTTCCTTTAGCATCTAGCCTTAAGCTTTGCCTATGAATATTTGGTGCTTTCTTCAGTTTATATAATTCTTCTTTAACTTCTTTTATTGTTGTAGTTGGCTTGACCTAAATACATAAAGTAAGATACATGTAAAATCAACACATTGTACATATGAAAATTAGAAATTTTAATTAGAATAAGTCTTGCAACCACTTGTACCATATTTCATTAAACATTATCATTATGAATATTTTACTGGGTTGTAACATATTTATAAGTAAGCGTGAATGAAGTACAAAAATTCTGGCTCTCATTTCCTTATCCTGTTGGACTTCGACATTAAGTGTTTATTACTTACGGATACATTGGCCACGAATTTTGATGACTTTGCGGTCAATATTTGAATCTAAAAATGAAGGGAAGTTCGTTGTTTCATAGTTCACATTTTAGAGGAAATTGTTCGTTATAATGTGTCGTATATATTTTGCTCATAAATACCTCCATCGTCACTGATAATTTGCCCGATATTTAGCAGCTTAATGATAAGAAAAAGTACCTTCGACAATCACGTTTCAAGCGCACTATATTACTACACGAGTGATCGCAAGATGCGATACAACGGCGCTGCAATCGTTCAATCGTACGACCCGTACGCGTACGACGTAGAAGTATCCTCGAGTGACCAATCAAATTCTCTTAAAAGATTATAAAGGCTAGCGTGTTCTTTTTACTGAAACCGCTATGTAAAATATAGGATTCCAGACTTTGGACAGTCATTAGACTTTGTAAAAGTAGACGCATCTACTTAACCGCACGACGATTCCGTGGAAGGTTTCCGTTAAGTTACGCGCTCTTGTTTATGTAGATTTGCGTACAACTTTGCTTTTAAATAGACATTGTAATACTTTCAAATGTTCGCATTCTGCATAAACTTGTTTAATACCAAAGTGAATTAAAAGATCGCCTAGAGATTGGTCGCTGCATTATTATCTAATAAAACATCTATGTAGATATAAACTAAAAATTATAAAAATATAATACATCCCAGATAGTACATGACGCCTTGAAGACGGCTTCAAGGCGTCTTAGACCTGAAATAGCCGTAAAGTGGACGTCTTGAAGGCGTCCTGTGTTATCTGGGATATAATGTAAGCGTGTTGTTGGTCAATAAGTCTGAAAGATATCCACAGGTAATAACGTAAATTGACTGTAAATTACGCTAACCAAAGGAAGAGTGATATCTTTAGCGTCAGTATAATTATAAATCTGCTGCTTCATTCGTTTATGAATATTCACCACTGTGACGGAAGTATAGACGAAGCAGAACGTTCGAAGGTGAGTTTCATAGAAACACAAAACGATCTCTGCTTGCATTTCATACAATTTTCCACAAATTATATATGTGAATAATTAAATTACGAAATATACAAGGTAATTAATTTGTATCATTGCATACATACACGTTACTGTACAATGCAAAATATGTATGTTTGCTGTGTTATGACAAAAGAATTCGAAATGCCGTACTACTGTAAAGATCAAATCTTTGTTTCCGTTGTTTTAACAAAATATAGAAACCGTAGTGAAATAAATAGACTGTACAAAGATTGAAAGATTGACAAAATGACCTCAAAAGTGTTTACCGTCATAATTGTAGATTACTTTCTTATCGACACAATCGGTCGGTAAAATTTAATGTTACCGATAAATCTACTCTAAAAGGGTGTACAATATTTTGTATAGATTTCACTGCTGATTCAAATTAAGTTATATATCCGAATTAATTAATTGTAAGTACACTATTGTAATTTTCGCTTTGTTCCAAAATATTTTTATGACTTTTATTGAAGTAGGTCGATATTTTCTTAAATCACACCCGTAGCTTTTCGGTACTGACCGAAGTGTTCCAAATACTGTTGTATAGTATCCAGAGGTTGATAGATATCATTCATCCGGTTCTACGAAAATGATAAACATGGCCATATTATACAAGAAAACTATTTTATTTACTTTTTCGGTGAAGCGTCAGTGACGACTCTAAGTTAGCAACGTATAGACAATTGATCAAATCAATCATTACCTGCAAATATTGTGGAGCTTGATTGGACACAGTAGGTCCGAGAAAGCCTTGCAGGAATTCCCGCATCAATTCCCATGCACTTCCGGGAACAACGCAGGGCCTGTACTCGACCTACAAATGACAAAAGGGTCATAATGTACAATACTGAATGAACGATAATGCAATCGTAATCGATAAAAATTAATAGGTGTAAAAAGTTTCATTATTAAGGCTTCCTTTCTTTTATTTTCATGTAGAATAGGGAAATAGCCAGAGAATGCCGATATAGAAACGAACATTTCGTGCAACGTTGGGCTCGTAATTGGCGCTTTTGCCGGGTCATTGGTTGACTAGAATGAAGCGAGGGAAAAAAAATGAGACTGGGTGTATCAGTATGTTCCCTCGAGCGTTGCACTTTATTCTTCCCGCGGAAGAGGGCTTTTTTCGGTTATAAATCGCGCGTAGCGAACAACGGAAGACCTTAATTCATTACACACCATTGAGGTTTCATAGGTGATATTGTTTCCTCAGAAATAATACAAAAAATTTTCTAATATCGAGGAGTAAAAACAATGCCTTCCCCGCTGATTATAGAAACAAGCCAATGGCAGGGAAAATCGATCAAACCGATATGCTCTCTTCGCTGGTCGTTTCTCTTTTCTTCTCCGATCAAGATCTCGGTGTCCAAAGGATCAGTCACCGTTTCGATCGAGATTGCAGGCTTTTCAACGGTTGCATAACCATTGAACAAAAGCCAGGGGGATCCCAGAAATTCTTCGCAGACAAACCGATCCCCGTGTTCTAACTCATCGGCGGCCACACGCTGACTTATCATCCTCTTAAAATCACTGGACGGTTCGACAATAGACTGGAATCTTGTAATATGACAGTTCGAACAACAAAATTTTTATCACTACTTTCTACAATCACGTTATTAATCTCGAGCTATAGGATGGAGAATACTACTAAGCTAATTAACGCGCCCCCTATTTTATAAATTAGTTACGTTTTTTTAAAATTGAAATTGTAAAAAAAGAAAATAATTTGAATCCACAAATTTATTATCAATTACTAAGTTACACATCCCTATATCATAAAATTAAAATTTAATTTCTCTTGCCTTTTTCCTCGCAAAATTGTCTACTAGTTCTTTCAAAACAAGTGTTGAAGCTTGGTCGTATGTATATTTTTATTCATTGCGTTAAACAAAATGCTGTTATTATTAAATCTGCTGCACCGTTCAATAAGACCAGCTGGATTTTTGCGCCTTCTCACGGTTTACGCCCTAGGCGACTGCCTCGAACGCCTTAATGGTAGCGCCGGTCCTGAGAATACCGTATTAATGATTTTATCAATCGACGAAAATGTAACTTGTCATCTTTAGTTTCATGTGCTGCATAGTGTATCCAAACTATACTATTAATTCTCGCGCAACGGTTTTACCTAATCTCGGAACGCGTTTTTCAGCTGCGAGGTTAGGAAATTACTTTGCCTCTCAAGAATCCTCCGTGACATTTTTCTTTCGCCGGAGAAAGAAACGGACGGCGAGCGTGGACCGTGAGTTAGTGGTACCCGGTCGGAGCCCGTCGCCGTACTATTTCTCCTGGTGAAATTAATGGTGGAACAGGGGGGGTTTATCGTAACATATTCGACGTCGTGGGTGAGTACAAACAGCGCCGTTACCAATACGAATGGGGCCGGCTGGATCGCTTAGAGGCCACGTAGCACGACACATTTCTCCGCGCGGACAACTTCGAGGCTTGTAGAACGGAAGTCCCGCCATTGTCGCGGTAATAGCGGCTGGTCCGGCAACATTTCGTGCTCTCGTCGTGGATGACGGTTCTTCCGTGAACTCGGATCGCCGGAGAATAATAGGGAAACTTGAGTAATACGGAGAAAGTTCGACGATTCGGTGAACTGACGAGTCGCTTTTTAACACGAATGAAATGGGGAAGATATCGGGGCTAGTTGACTAATTTTCAACATGTCTGATTTTTACAAATGAACCATTTATATTTTGTTGACTTGATGCATACCAAAAGTTTACATATTTACTTAGGTATACAGGCTCAATTTCGAAAATCGATTTAATTGAGCCGAGGTTGTAATTTTTGACATATTTAGATTAGTGAGAGCAATAAGTCAACGAACCCCGCCTGTGGGGTTAGTTGACTAAACATTTACTTTGAAGCATTTAAGAAAAAAATAACGGTATTAACAAAAACTAAACATTTAATTGTTCATATATGTTTATTGTAATGAACTAAATGATGATTTGTAGGAGAAATTAGGTCAAATTAGTTCACATATAAAACACTATATTAGAGGTGATGCAGTTTTTGTGAGCTCATCTACGAACGCTATCACTGTAAGGTTTATCGAATACCAAGCATTCTGTATCATATTCTGATTCTGAGGATAATCCCACTTATGCTTAATCAAGTAACCATGACCGATATTTTAACATGTTAAGAGCCGCACGAACAAAACCTCTACAAACCGGATAAAATAAACTACATACTGTAAATTACAGTCAATACTTGCATTTCCACAAAATATTCAGGAAAAAGTATTATGCAATACTTAATAAACAGAAATTTATAAATAGTCAAAACGAAAATATTTGCTCATCGCCGATGTTTTTAAATGTTTTATTCTCACTGATATAACACGCGAGTTCTGTCACGGCGACACATTAAATGGTGAGATATAGTCATTCATATTTATCAATATCGTGGATAAAAGCACCATTTATTCTATAATACAATAGTTAAAGGGAATTAGTCAACTAACCCCATTAGTCAATTAGCCCCTGTCTTCCCTAGTTACAGTACTCGACAATATGTGTGAATACTCGGTGAATATAGGTTCCAATATCAATCGAAGTAAGTATTTAGAAACTTTTCTTAATATTTCGTATATCGTATTCTCACGTATATCGTGTTCTCAAAAGTTTGGGACATCTGTTTAGACCGAAGACGATATTTTATAAGGGAGGCTCGGGACGAATGTAACAATTATTATAAAACAGATGCCAGTCGATCAACAATCTCCTTCCATTTTTATACACAAATTTCATTTGCCCTACGTCTTAGTTGTCGCCAACATGCAGCAGTAGAGTAAAGTAGCCGAATATGAGAATCATTTTTTTAAACACGCACAATTCTCGATAAAAAATAGTTCTATTGAAATACGATACACGTTTGACATGTAAGATGTGTACACTTTTAAAACTTATTAGAAATTATAACAAAACAGATAGAGTTCCATCAGAATAAAATAAAAATGAAAAGTATGCAAAAACATGAATTCAAAAACGTCTTTTTTCACACATTGGGCATATAAAATTAATTGTGTTTGCACCGCAGTCTCCATGGGCCCACCGGTAACATTTCATACACTGAACTCATTGTTCACCATGTACATCTGAAGAATAAAGTCTTGTACAAAATAAGCATTCTGCTTCATAATTTTCTTCGTCATCAGTTTCATCGTTCAGAACAATGTCTCCTTCACATTCATCAGTTGAACTACCACTTGTTATGTGTTTCCCTGTAGTGCATGTTTTTAAATTGTTTGCGACGTTCAAGACTTCTCCGTAACGAAGGTAGGCTGGGGTTTCATATTAGAAAAGGTCTCGTATTAGGCTACTTTACCCTAAGCGATTTCCCTGATACGACTATCGTATTGAAATAATACATCAAAATTAAGTTTGTATCAGATCTTTCACTTATGTACCTCTTTGTTTCAATCCCGGAAAATCCTTTGCAACTTTCGGTGTTATACAGGGTGGGCCATCTAACGTTTGGAATTAGAACTAAAGGTTATTTTGAGGTTGGAAGGTTTGATGACATTTCCGATGTGACAGAAAGTTAGTTTTATGTTTCACATTTATGAAATGGGTCGCTTTTCACTTGAACAAAGTTGGGAAATATTAAAAACTTATTTCCAAAGTGGTGAGTCTTCTACTCAAACTGTAAGAAATTTACGAAAAAAATGTGACAAAAAGGATGTGCCAAAAACGCAGTTTGTGGATCAATTTGTGAAGCGATTTCGTGAAACTGGATCGTTGTTGGATAAAACAACCCGTGTACGTACTCGTCCAGTGCGCTCAACCGAAAACATCGCTGCTGTTGCTCAGAGTGTGCGTGAACAACCATCAACATCAACTCGTCATCGTTCTCAAGAATTGAACATTTCACGCACTTCTTTGAGAAGAATTTTGCATAAAGATCTCGGTATGAATGCGTATAAAGTTCAATTAGTGCAAGAGCTGAAGCCGCATGACCATCCGATGCGTTTTCGGTTTGCTCAATGGGCCGAAGATCGCTTGATCGAAGATGAGCATTTTTACCGAAAAATCATCTTTTCAGATGAAGCTCATTTCCACCTCGGAGGATACGTCAATAAGCAAAATTGTC